AGACACAACTCCATTCTTTAAGCTTTTCATCTTCTTGTATGAAAAGCAGGACAGCCTTGTCTGTTTTTAGCTAAGTCCTAAAACAGGTATCCCCATCCTCAGCTCCTGCAGTGTCCCTCAGCTGAAAACCCCACTGCAGCACTACTGTGGAAATGCACAGGATGAGAGCAGTGGGGTCACAGTGCCCCAGAGAGCCTCAGGATGAGGCCTATGGACCCAGCCTGGTCTGCAGCAGTTGCCTTGGCAATAGCAGCATTGTGCTCTGGAGCCAGCAAAATGTTAGCCCCTTTGTTTGTAAAGCAAATTTGGCCACCCTGAACTGCTCTGCCCTGCAGAGCTGCCTTCTTATTGAGACTTTGGCGTTCCCCAGCCTCGAGGTGCAGCCCTGAGGCAAGCCCCCAAAGTACTGCTCGGTTTCCCAAGAATCTTCACCTGAAGCCATGGTTGCATGTGCAGAAGAAAAGGAATTTTGTTCGCCACCCAGTGCACAGGGCTGGGCTGCTGCAAGGGCCACCACCTGCTCAAATACACTACCTGTCTGCATCATAGCCTTTTCTAATCTGAAACCCAATAGCATTTTCAACTAAACATTTATGGAAAAGACTGGTGTACTGCTTGCACATCTTCCCTTTCTAGAGCTACCATCCCTTCTCAGTGCATGAAGAGAAGTGAGAGACACCCCTGCCCTCGGAGGGAGTGCCAGTGCCACATGCTAATGAAGGCAAAGACAGCAGCTGACAGACACTACCGAAGTGGGCTCAGAGGAGAGGAAAAGAACAACTCAGAGGCAGAAATGAAGTGATACAAATCCACAATCCATGGGCCTCGGCATAAAACCTCTCCTGCTGCGTCGTGATGGCCATCAGCGGAGTTAACCTTCCACTCTAATCACAGTCATTAAATTCCTGCTAACGTCCCTGTCCTATGTCTGTCCAAACAGCTCTGTTATCTGTCACCTCCCCACACGGTGTGCCCGGCTCCCCACTGCCACAGCTCTCATTAATGCTGCTCTGGCTGGCTGATGAGGCAAGTGGCAGCCGGCTCCCGAGCCCAGATGAGTTTTGTAGACAGCAGGGGATGTTTATCCAACATGGAGGGGATGAAAGTGCAAACAAAGAGAGACCATACAATTACTCAGGCATCGCACAGGGCCAGTCTCATTAAAGACAGTCTCCCTGACAGGAATTAATCTGAAGTGACAATGCAGTGAGCCAATTTAGCAGATGAGTTTGGGGCTTGGCCCAGTGCAAATTTCAGGGGGCAGTCTGGCAGGTAGAGCTAAATCTGCTCCTAGGAGAGAAAAGGCAGGAATGTGTTAAGCTGGCCTGGTTCTGGCCTAAGACTGTGTATGAGAAGGTACAGAGGAGACAGCAGCCTCAGGTCTCCTTGAGGGGCACAATAAAGATTAAACTTTCCTACTGCACCGACAGCTTCTCCTTCCTCTTTCTCTTGCAGCCCTTAGGTCACAGATGGGTTCTAGCTCATTAAGTGCATAGTAATTCTGCCACTATCCCCTGTAACCACCAGCCCAACTCAGATCTTTCCTCCATGATGTAACCTGCTTGCAGTATTAGATGGCTTTTCATTTCTCTGTAATGTTAGAGCAGAGCCCTGGGAGGGGATAAAATACACAGAGAGAAAAAAGCAACTTAAAAGGCTTTTTATTTTTTAAGCAAAGATCTGGTCTGGGGAGGCTGCTTTGAATCCCCAAGCAATGAAAAGCATTTTCAGTTGGAGTGCAGTGCCTCAGTGCCTTTCTACGCTCCAAGAATATATGGAAATAAAAAAGCTGACCAAACAAATAGCCCAAAAGCCTCATGGCATCTGCCTATAACCAAAACAATCAAGGCTGTTAACTCATTGAGTTAACAGTAGTAGTTAAAACTACCACAACTGGTAAAGGTGAAGTAAGGTGGCTGGCATCTGTATCACTTGCCTTGCAGCAAGAAAGGAAAAACCTTCCAAGCTGTCAGGACAGACAGCTGTGAGGCTCCTGCTGTTCCTAAGTGGGGAGGTTTTCCCCTCTGAATTGGCACTCAACAAAGCCACTGCCTAAGCCCCCCCTGACCTTCAGAAACTAACCACCACTTTGCCAAGATATAGAGCAGAGGCTTTACAAGGAGCTTGCTTCAAGTTGCTATCATATGTGCTTTGCCTGGGTCAGTGGCTTCAAGCTGTCAAGCAGCTTATATGGTTTTAATCAAAAGTTAATCCTTATTCTACTGGAACTGGTACGTCTGCTGCACTGCCTGGCCGGCTCCACAGTGCTGGGAACAATCAGCTCTGCCTGTCTTGCTGGGAGCCCTTGTGCATTGCTTTGGAAACCATACTCCCCCTAACTGCTTGTAATCTCCCCAGGAGTGCACAACCAGCCTTAGGGAGCCACTGTACAGGAAAAGCTGGAGGAGCCACAGTGCCAGCCAATTAATAAGCAGCACTTTGACTCTCACCCAGCACCTTTTTCAGCAGCTGCAGCAAGCAAATCTAATTCAAGGGTTCCCAGGTGCCTTGCAAACCATCCTGCTACTTGGGGATCTTCACATTACATATGCCAAGAGATCTTTGAGCAAACCAGGCAGTGTGAAATGAAAACCAGCAAACCATCTTGCAACCAGTGGGCATCCCAGCTGGTTGCCCTTTGGATTCCAGCTCAGCAAGAGTTAATTTTTCCCTTGCCATGCCCTCTACCCCTGACAGCCCCTCATAGCCCCAAGGCTGCAGGCTGCTGCTGCCACATTTGTTCATCCTTAAGGTGCTGAAAAGCCCCTGCCATGACCACCGAGGCTGCAGAGCTCCCAGGGCTGGCTGGCTGGGCAAGCTTTCATCAGCTTAGTGCTGGCAATAAATCAGTTGTGTCTGGCCATGTGCAAGGACCTTTTTACCTAAGGAGAATATTCCGTCTCAATCCTAGCTCTCTAGGAATTTTCTGCCACCACAGGTAGTTCCTGGAAAGCCAGCATATCCAGTGAGGAGAGTGTGCAGGCAAACAGTAGCTCCACATCCAGGCAGACAAATCCCCTTTCTTAAGAGCTCTCCAGTCAGTAATGCTTTTTTAAGCTTTTGAGCTTTTCATGGTTATATTCAGTGAGGTCACTATGTTTTACAGTCCAACAATGGAACAGAAGTATGCAAAGCTTACCCCAGGTGTCCCAGCACAGAGAAGAAGGTATGACAAAGCATCAGGGTCTGCAGGATATGGAAGAGGGTGATGGAACAAGGGAAGGAGTGAAAGGTCAGGAGATGTCACAAGGCTTCTTGGAGTCCAAGTGAGACATCACAGGAAAAACACCAGGAAGGCGGGACAAGAGTGCAGGGAAGTGGCAGGCTGAAGATGAGGGGGGATGTGATCCTCTAGGACAAGGAAATGAAAAGGGACCTCAGCAAGGCACGTGGAAGGGGAGACCTTGCCATGAAATGCAAGTATTTTTGTTGGAGGAGGGCCAGGAGGAGGCACTACTGTGAAAAACTTTTCCAACGTTTCCTGCTTGTGCTTGACAGAAGTGGGAAAAGACTCCCCTGCTTCCTCCTCTCTCTGCCCTATCTTACTCAGATCCAGGCCACTATGATGAGACCTGTAGCCATTTCTAAGAGCCTGCCCATATGTGAGATTGGGCTACAGCAGGGCCGCAATATCACACTCCTTCAAAACACATAAGTCAACAGTCACAGCTATGTGGTGATTCTGCAAAACAGTAACAGCAGTAACTGGTGGGGTATGAACAAAACTGGGGTGGGGGGGTGAGTGGTGTTAAATTTGCACGGGCACTCAACTCCCTTCATGTCATAACTTAAAGCAGAAAAGTGGGTTTCCCTTTTCTTGATCCCTTTCAGCAGGAGCTCAGTGAAGAACAGATCCAAGATTACTTTTAGGAACTGTGCAAAAGGAAAAAAAACCCTCAACATTACCAGAGAAGGATAAAACCCACAAATTTCTTCACTGAGTCGCAGTGCTGATAATAGCAAAACTTGGCTCAGAGGGAAGAGCTACTGTGACAAACTGCCTTCATTATTAGAGGCTCCCCTGTGTCTTGTATTATTATTAAGTACTGACAACGTGCTCCATGCCATGTGAGTAACAAACAAAGGCTGTCCCACCCCAGAGAGCTCACAATCAAACGGAGACATAAAACTGGAGCCTACTGTGCAGAACTAGAGGAAAAAGACACTTGAATCTTTTTAATTATTTTGTTTTCTATCTACAGTAAACAAACTTTCCCTTGCAAAATGCATTTGCTTCCCAGCTACCACTGAATGGCAAGAACCACCAACCTTTAGTGTTCCCATTTTTCAAAAATGTTGAACATAGGTGCTTTGCTGAGCGTGGATGAAAGTACCTGGCAATCCTGCTAAGTTAATGTGCTCTTTAAAAACACCAAACTCTTTTCTCTAGCCTTCTCCAACCAGTCATGTCTTCAGATTTCACTGAGTTCTTTCCTCCCACTCCCACCACCCAATATGATTTCTCTTCAAGCTAAGAAACCTTGAGACCCACTTCTCTTCCCCTGCAGAGTTCATATAGTCCAAATAGCTTAGTTACTGTCACAGTATGAAAGCCCTTCTGCAACACAAACAGTCTTTGATTTTTTCCTGCAGTTCTAGCCTGGAGAGCTCTTCAACTTATTCTCTTTTTTCTGTATGAGTGAGGAGGATGGAATTCTACATGTTTGAATCTTTGGCCTATAAAATCTATAATACCTACTAATGACTGTAGGGTATTGTTCCCATTAAACCTCAGTTCAAAAAACTGAGCATGAACAGTCCAATGGGAGCAGCAGGGCTTTGGAAGACCTGAATTGTACCCAGCATCAGAGGTAAAAATGAACACTGAACTGTGCACTTGGCCTGTCTCTTCCATTCTGTGGGGAAGGTGCAGGACCATCAAGATCCGGCAATTTCATCACCTTCAACTCTTAATCAGCAAGGAGACATTGATATAACTGCCTCCTTAAAGGCTTTCTTCCCAAGGGTATATGCTGAGGCTCCAGAAGAGCAGACCTTACCTGCCGGAGTTCCAGACGGTACTTGAGGATGGGATCCACAGCATCTGGCTCCTTCTGTGTCCACTGCAAGATGTAAGAGTAATTCTTGGACTGCTTCTGGCTCAAGGTAGGATTGGGAGTGTCATAGTAAAACTCTGGGCTATAAGCTTTGGCTGGAGAGGAAAAAAAAAATAGGGAAAAAAGTAAAAAAGTGGGATCAAGTGGAACATAAATGACACGGAGATGTGGTGAAAGTGGATCAGCTCCACTCACCAAACTCATTCACCTGCCTCTGACATGATGGACACCTTTACTGTTGCACTGATGTGCCACCATTTTCTGTGACTCAATACTGCTTTCATAGCCTAAACTATTAGGCTATAGAGGATTAGCAGCCCTGCAACACCAGTAGGGCATGACCAGCACCTGAGAAGGTGGGAACAACTTCAGTTCTCCAGCTGGAACAAGCTCTAATCTTTTCTCCTTTGCTTTGTAGTTTAGATTGAGATAACAGCTTTAGACTGGCATTTCTCCTGTTTAATCTGCTGCTTTACAGAGACTCCTGCTAACAAACTCCGAAGAAAGATCATTTGGCCAGTAGGTCATAGGAAAAGTGTTATTTATCACACAGGGACCATGGCATTAAAAAGGAGACCTTGCTCCTTCTGCACCTCCCCTGCCTCAGCAACGCAGTGCTCAAGCCTCTTTGTAGAATAACAGTCAACTCGGCAGCAAAGGGGATGCTGACCTCAGCCTGGGTAAAAACAGCAGGAGCTTTGGCAGGGGCGGAGATGTCTTTTCTAAACTGACATCTCTCCTTAAAAACAGAGTGCAGCAGGAGAAGGGAAACACAGGAGAAACAATGTACCAGATAGAAACTAGGCAGTTTGGAGAAAAAGGGTCTTCCTGTGATTTCCCTAGTCACTGCTGTCCCGAACCACCACCAAACAGAATTTGAAGGCTATTGCCATGCAACCCCCCAGCTTAAGGACTAATGCACAGGGCCCAGAAACAACTCAAGGTCTTATCCACAACTGGTTTTGCCCTATTTGAAATTACCTTCATTTCATCCTGTGAACTTCAATTTTTGGCAGGTCCTGTCCTGAGCCAGGCAGCAGCTGGACCTGAACGAAAACCCAGCTCTCTGGGTTCAGGTCCAGTCTGAACCTGCAGTGACCAGAAAGATGCGTAGGCAGCAAGGGACACCAGAGAGCAGAACAGGCATAAACTGTCTCCCCAGGCTGTCTGCTGCACCTTTCCACTTGAATTACAGGTCCTGCCATTCTGTGTGGTTATAATCAGGCTTGACAGGATTCACCGGTCTTTTTTTATGAACTCAGATGTATAATATTGATATTTATTTCCAAGTCCTTTTTTTCTTATTATTTTTATTGACTTGAATTTTTGCACAAGCAAGAAGTTCAGAACCACCTCAGAGACTAATTGCTGCTTATTCAACTTGTATTGACTGTGGAAGTCAAGCTTCATAACGGATTCAGAAATAAAATCAGAACTGATGATAATCATCATCTTGCATGATATTAATTCCTTATTAATTGACTCAAAGATGGAAATGGAAGTTAAAAAAAAAAGCCTTTCGGCCTTTTGATAGAAATGCTGCACATCAAAATATTTTCAGAACTTCCTTTCTGGAAACTTTTAGCATTACTGGAAAGGTTTTTCTTTTGCTTACAGCCTATGGGAAGAGCTGAAGATTATTCACTCTGTCTTTCAGGGCTCTTCTGTGCTTGTGGCTAGTGGGAGAGCAGGTTATGACCACTATGGGCTGCCAGATAATTTACTCAGGAGGAATGGGTTGGATGTCTCACTATCTTTCCAAAATATCTTAGAAATGCTCATCACCCATTTTTAGATGCAAATAATCCCATCCTGGGCAGCTTCATGTACGGTATTTCCAGTACATCTGAACACCCCATAGTCACAAATGAGTCACTGCCTCCTTGTCACATAGGAAGGTTTATGGTCTTTCTCCATAGAGAAGAAACAAAATCAAAAGGAGAGCATGCCATTCTGCCCACTTACATAAGAAGGCTGTCGCTGATGGGAATTAAAACTCCAGCAATCCTGAGCCCAAGCGCAGCAGTCTAGCCACTGGATTATTTTTCAGGCTGCTCTACAGGCTCTGAAAGCCTTAATTGATTTGTAACTGTCCAGGAAACAGGCAGAGATGTCTGGAGCTGAACAGCTACCATCAGGTATCAATGCCTTGGAAACAGAGAAAGGATGTGGAAAAATAAAACCCTGCTTTTTTCCTGATCAGTGCTCTCTGGGGATGAAACTTCCTTCTGCTGAGGGAATCTTATCTAAGGCACAGCATGGCACACTGCATGGCAGTATGTATTTGTTCCTGCTCCCAGCAAGAAATTCCTGAGAGCATTCCCAAACTTGATAGGGACACAGTTTTCCCTGATGGCTCATAGAGGGATATGGTTTGTCATCACTTAGTGATGTGAGAGTTATGAAAAACGGGTAAAGAGGGTCAAAGCTCTCAAGAAAAATCCACTGCCAGACAAATGCCAGGAAATCTCAAGGGCTGAGAGCAAGGTCCTGAAAAGGGACTCAAACAGTTTGGGATCCCCCATTTCTGAGAGTGTCTCAGATTTATAGCATACCTGTGCTTTTCCAAACCTTACAAAAAATCTGCTTCAAAATCAGGCCTCTCTGGGTGTTATTTATTCTCTTTGTTCAGCCCTGACTTGAAAAGTATTATAAACTGACCCCAGACTCAAACCCCAGTATTTGGGCTGAATTTATTGCTTATTAAGGCAACTTCATGGGAGAGCTTTTCTAGAAACTTGTGCCCAAGTCAATTCTGGGGTCATGGAAAAAGCAGATTTAATGATCATCTGGAGAGGCCAGGTCAGATGTGTGGTTTTAGATGCTATAACTCTGCCATCCCTCTTTGCAGTTGCAGGTGCTGGAGAGGAATCCTATTATGGTGCATGACGGATTCACAGAAAACTGTGAGTCGCAAATCCACTGAGTACTAGTGTCCATAACCAGCTCATGTTTTTCCTATGAAGCATCATGAGACACAGAGAGACAGGAGACATAGGGATGGTACAGAAATACATAATACCGTTTTTGTTTCTTGGTTTGTTTGCTTTTAAAGGGGAAATTAGATGGTTTGGAGCCTGTTGGAGGTATGTAAACACTGCTAAAATGTACCAGTGGCTAGCACTAACTGCTCCAGATCCATCTGCCTGAATGACTGAGACAGATCTCTCTGTTGGCTTATAAAAATCACTCCTCCTGAACAGAATGCTGTATACAGAAGAGGCAGTAGAGGTTGCTTTTACTGGCACCAGTTTATGAGGAGCAAGCTTCCCACCTCCATGACCCCATCCAACAGCTTGCTCTGATGTGGATTCTGTGGCTTACCAGACACCTGGAAGAGGCAGGTGGAGACTCCCACGTCATTGGAAATACTGCACTCGTAGCTCCCACTGGTCTCCCGGCTGACACTGTCCACCTTCAGCTCTGAGTAGTCCTGCTGCTCTGCCAGGGGCTGCGCCAGGAGGGTCCCGTTGAAACGCCAGACAGAAGTGGCCACCTTCATGGGGCTGCCCTTCAGCATGGTGCAGCGCAGGGTGACACTGTGCCCCATGCCCTGGCGTACATCCTGGAAGGCCGGCTCCACCACGGGGGGGACTGGAGACAAAACAGAGCAACAGACAGGGATGCAGTCAGGGAACAACTGTCTCACTCAGCACGGTCACCCTGACTGCCTCTGATGAGACAGATACCTATGATTTCCAAGGGGATATTTATTTTCTGGTGGGAGCCAGGATACATCAAACCAAAAGCAATAGTCATCTGACATCTCCTTCTCATTGGATTGTGGCCACATCCCACCTCCCTTCCATTTATGAGGTAGGAGTGGCCTTTAGCAAGTTCTCGTACCACACTAACATGCTACTTGGAGGAGCTACCAAGCCCCACTCTTTCGTGTCAAAAGTGCAACCCCAGCAGCTGAGTGTCACAGCTTGGATTCAATCCTCAGATACTAATCAGAAAAACCACAGTCCTCTTTTGCAGCATGAAATGCACTCTATGACCAGGCAGTTAAGCTCCCAATCAGTTAAATTCATGTTCTACTTGTCAGTGTCTGGCAGGGTTATCAAGGACCCTGTGCTTAGATGGAGGGATATGCACTGGCTGTCCCTACAGATCTGAAGGCGTGTTAGAGGGCTTCTCCCAAATACATCAATACAACACACCAGGGACCAGCTACAGGGACTCTGAGTCCTATTTTTATCTCTGGTAACAATGCCCTGATGTTGGGAGGCGAGTCACATCTATCCATGTCAGCTTCTCTGCCAGTAGTGCAAGAATGAGAATGGTGATATGTGTTCACCTCCTCAGCAAAGGGAGACTACCGTGCTTTGTTCTCCAGCACTTGTAAAAAATTACAGGAACCTCACAATTTGGGTATGATTGAAGCAGAGCAAGTATCTGGATTGGTACTGTTTAGGTTACCCCTTATATAATGCAATTGCAGAGGACTTCAGTTTCCACAGCCATCTGATAGACTTGTTTCATTTGCAATAAACTTTTAATTAAAGCACTACAGCATAGGGATAACCAGAAGCTCTCCATCTAAAATAAGAAAAGCTTCCTGAACACAAAACAGCTGTTAGCCTAAATGTAAAAAAGGGAGAACTGATTTATAGCAGCTTCCAGCACAATCATAACTCACCTTCTCCATGTTCAAAGCACCTGCTCATCTACAGATGACTTCTGTGCACTACAGATGAGCAGAGCACTCGCCTCCTCTAAAGGTCCACAGAGCTGCCAAGCACAGCCAGGCCCAAACACCTGCAGCACCCAGCATCTGTAATGCCACAAACACCTCCAACAGCTACTCAGCACCCCTGCTGCCCTGAACACAGCAATGCCAGGAGGGCTCCAGCTCACCGGTCTCTCATCTCCCGTAGCCTGACCCCCAGCAAGACTCACTGACAGCTCTGTAACACTAGTGACATCTCCATCTTTACCACAGATGAAAGTGGTGCACACACTGTCCCACAGGCAGGCATGCACAGTGCCCCCCGGCACAAATGCAGCTGTGGATATGCAGCTTACAATCACCCGCTCCACCTGGCAGCCCTGGTTTGACATGGCTGATTGTTTGCAAGATACCTGTTCTCAGCTCTCAGTTTCTGAGCCCCTTGCTGCACTTCAGTGGATTAAAAGCAGCCCTCAACTGAGCTGAGTGGCATGGTCAGCTCATTACAGATGGCTTTGCTAGCACTGTGTCTCTGCAAGTGCTCCAAGTGCTGACTTGCCTTTGGCTCACATGTCTCCCACCTCATGGTGAGAATAATGTGAGAAGTTGTTTGATTAGACCTAGTGCCATGAATGTGTCATCTCCATCCCTAGCTGCTATGCCATTTCTTTGGTCACATCTGCTCCTTAATTGAAGCTAGTGGGGTCTCACATTACAATCTAGGCCAGCTGGTGATACAGGGGAAAAAAAAAGGGGAAAGTAGGGAGAAGAGAGAAAAGAAGGCTGAAAAAAAATGGCACAGCATTGAATACCAGAGGTACTCAAAGCAGTCTCTCTCCTGAGGAGCAGAGAGAGAGGTGGAAAAGCAGCTTCCCTCACTGCACCTAGCTGTGCCTGTCTATGGGGATGGGACAAAGGAAGAGAAAAGGTCTGAAATTGGACAAAGTGCTGACTGCAAGGAAATGCGCTGCAGGGAAGGTGCCCTCCTGGGCCTCACTGAGAGAGTGTCTGGGGTTGGTAAAGAGTCACAGAGGAACAGGGTTGAGATGCTCCAGATGCTTCCTTAGGTCACTGGAACAGCAGGGCAGCCAAGGATGCAGAAGATATTTAATCTTCTTCAGCTGGGGAATGGGATTTCCTTGATTTGCACTGGGACAGGCTCTGGGCCTCTGTTATCATTTTGCAAAGGGAATGTCTGAAAGTGCCTCTAAATTAAAAATTGATTACATTTTCTTCTCTTGTCTCTGGCACTAGGAAACACCCCATGAGCATTAACCCTGCAGGTAGTCCTGTAGCTCCTGGGTTTTCTGGAGAGAGAGCTGAAGTAGATCATCCCATGGATGCAAAGCATACAGAAGTATACCAAGAGTCAGCTATTCCCAAAGGTTCTCAATGGATATGAAAACAAAAAAAGGTCAATAGCAATTACAGAGCCAGACACCAGCTCCTGCCTCAATGCCTACTAGGGAGTCCACACTGGTTCAAGAAGGTTACACACAAAAGGCAGACTCGCCAGAAAGGCAGGTATTCAGTCTGTAAAATCTAGCATCTAACAACAACATAGTCTTTTCTGTTTCTGTTCTTTTTCCCTGGCTTAAAGGCAAATGAAAGCTTGTTTAAATGAACTGGTGCTTCTACTTGCTAGAACTGGGAACTGAACAGCTCCTGAGATGGGGACTGTCTCAGAGCGGAGACCTCCCACATGACTCCTGCACAGACACCTTTAGGGAGCTGCAAGAAAGGATAACGATTTCCCAGGTGCCTCTTATACCCACAGGCAAGCAGCATCCCTGCTGGCTAGAAGGGAGCAGTATCTGGCTCTTCTGGTTTGCTAAGCTGCCATGCTGCTCTTTGAGGACCTTGGGTATCACCCCGGTTTTTAGCCCAGTTACAAAGCTGTGTCCTTGTCCGGACATTCCTCAAATGCCTTTCTGTATCCCACCCTGAGCTCCTGTGCCGGTGTCTGAAGTGCTCTTTTAAGCAGCCACCACATTGCAGGCAGCAGGTTGCTACACTTAAAGAAGGTAAAAAACCTTTGTGCATATACAGAGCTTCGAGATCTCCTAGTAAGAAACACAGCAAACAAATATAGACGATTACTGATCTCTCTCAACACACAGGTTAACTCTAGAAGAGCTCACTGGCAAGAGGAGTGATGAAAGGGGTGAAGAGGTAAAGTTGAAGGGAGGCTCCTCCGGCAACATTGTTAAGATGCTGTTGCTGCAAAACACAAGGCAGGGCAGCCTGCCTTTGCAGCAGAGTTAGCTAGTTAGGAGCAAATCAAATCAGCCAAACACAGGCAACCTACTCTAGCATGCCAAGCACCCTAAAACAAAGCCAGGCTGCAGGCAGCTCCCTTGCTGCGAGCCAGAGCAGATGCTCCGCACTGAAGGGTTGCTAAGCTAACACAGTATTCACAATGATGAAGGGCAACAGTGAGGAAAGCACAACAGAGCAATGTCAAGCACCGAGGAGTGTTGCTTTGTGTCCCAATAACCTCTTACTTTCTTGGCTTCACTGGAAATAACTAGAATCAAAATGCTTATCCTGCTAGGTGAGTGAGAAGTGCGCTGGCTGATGAGTGGTGGTTAACTTGGATTAAGTCTGTTTTTATTTTAGCCTTGAGGAAGGGAGGAGTGTTCTTCCTTACAAGAGCCAAAGAACTTGAAGGAGAGACCACACTTTCCTTGCACTGTTACTGTGCTGTGCTGCTTGGGCAGAGCACAAGAAGGGGTACTCAGCCATCCCTGCAATGCTGTCTGATTGCTACAGATTCCCATCAAATTCAGATGCCTTCAGAAGTCAGAGATGTTTATTTCACTAGTGATGAAGTCAGAGCATCCCAGGATGGCAGAGATGCACTACAGAGAGTTTTTTACTTGTGGGTAAATATAGAAAAAAAAATCACCTAAATTAGAAAATGAGGATATTGTCATGAGCCTGCTCAATCTGGTATAGATGAAAGGCAAAGAAAGGCTCCTACTGGAGTGGACTGATGTACAGAAATCAGTGACAAGTGTAAACACAAAACAGGATCTATAGAACAGGGGAGCACTGAGAGAACAGACCTCACATTAATTGCTCAGGCAATAACTGAGAAGGTTGAATATCCTAGACACCACAGGACAACACTACTATGCAAGACATGCAAAGTCTGCTTTCCCACCACAGCTTGAGAACTGTTCCATTCCTAAATACTGGCTCATTTTGGAAGGGTTGTCAGAGCTGAGGAGCTCACTCATAACCTGCTTTTTGACTCAAAGGCAGCCTTGTCTCCTATGTAGCCACCCTGACCAGCGGCTGGCAATAGCCATCTCTGTAGGTGGTTAGCTGCCTGCATTGTACTGCTGGTCTGTGCAGCTGCCATGGGCTGCTGCACTCTTATTTTTCTACCCGAGTTTACTTTCTGCAATGCTTCCTCTGCTGCAAAGAGCACTACAGTGCAGCAATGTCCAGGCGGAAAAAGAGAAGCACAAAACAGAAACACACCCTAATCGAGGTCATACAAGCAGGCAGCATCAGACAGAAGCAGCACAGACTCCTGTATCCTGACCCTCAGTATCTGGTGTCCTGAATCAGGATACTTTCCATAACAGGTCCCATATCCTAGTCCTTCCGTCCTTAGCCCAGGCTTCCTTCTCTGTGAGAAACATCCTCTACTCTACCCTCCAGAGTCAGCCTTTACATTTTTATTTAAATTTAGAAAGTGCAATATGTAATACAAGTGATGAAAATAGCAAGCTTTGCTAGACTAGAAAGCAGCTTTATTTTGAGTAGCTTTCATTCCACCCTACTGACTGACCGCCTCAGAGCCTAACTATGCATCGTAGCACCAGTGGGACCCCTGCCTTTAACCTTCACCTTATCCCATGTCTGAGACCTAATGGACCACTCACTTGCTGGGTTAAGATTGCAAATGACA